CGAGAGCAAAAAAAAAAAAAAAAAAATCTCGTAAATGTACGTCCACCCGCCGGGAAGCTTCCTCCGTCTGCCCATATTTTTACAATGGGCGGACAGCGAGGGGTTAAGCTTGGTATATACTGTTCCATTTTTTTTTAAGCTGCAAGCTAAATGCTTTCCAGGCTTGAATGCAAATATTAAAAACAATATATATTTATATATATAAATTTATTTTTTTTGCAAAAGGTGAACTTAGCCTTTAAATAGTATTGGTGTAACCAGTGTATAGGTGGAAGTGTGGAATAGAGTAGCCATGTCCAGCGGACAGAAATGAGGGGTGTAGAATATAGAATGTACAGCGCATTGTACAGAAAAGTGGTGGTGTGAAATAGGGAATGTATAGCACAGTGTACATAATTAGGCTGAATGGAATAGTGAACATGTACCATAGTTTACAGAACGAGGTTGTGTGGAATACGGATTGTACAGAAATGGGATGGTATGGGATAGGGCGTGCAGTACAGCGTACAAGACTGCTGCCCTGGGGGGGTTATTAAAAGTGCAGAACCTATTTTTTTTGTGTGTTTTGACAGCACATTTCAAATAAATGGCCTGAGTAATGCAAAGTGTCTCAACACATAAATATGCTTGCATTATAGGCACACAAATTCCGTTGTGAAAAAGTCCTATTTTTTTGTAAAGGAGGTGAATTTTGTTTTTAAGAGTCATATTCTCCAAGTGTAGCTGAAGAACCTGGCTTGCCAGAGCAAATCACTGCTCCACTCCCTCCTAGTGCTGCACGCATGAAGCCAGAATGAATGGGAGCCATGGAACGTGGAAAGTAACATTCCACTTTATGGAACTGGAAGGGGATCCTCTGGTGGGTAGTGCTTTCATTTAGCTGTCTTCTTCTACAAGACACACAACCGCCACATCTGAGGTTTGACAGATGGTGGTAGTGGACCAGGGCAGAATGTTAGAAGCTTGATCAGTCCGAAATAACACAACTTTAGCTTATATTGCCCCATCACCACGCTACACTAAAGGCAATAAGGGGCAAGAGGATATTGAAGGACCCGGTCTGTCCCTCTTTTCTTCACTTTTGCACGCTTTTCTTCATTTCAGGCATTTATATAGCATACTATTCACTTACATCAGTCCCTGCCCGCAAGGAGCTTACAGTCAGTCAAAGGATCCCATCTCATACGCACCCATACTGTGGCCAATTTAGACCTAATGTCATTGGAGTGTGGTACGAAACCCAGACAAGCACAGGCAAAATATGAAACTCAACGCAGTGTCCTGGCCGAACCTGGATTTAAATTGGGGATCTAGGTGCTGCAAAGCAGTACCACAACCACTGAGCCACTTTATATAAGGAGATCAACATCTCCCTATATAAACTTGAGCAATTACAAAAAAAAACTAATTTTGTAGTTTCTACTGCTAAGAAAATGCAGGAAAGAGAGGGATACACAGGGCCCTCTATTACCCTCTTACGCCTTCATTACCCTTAACCCAGGATAGTAACAGAGCAATGTGAGCCAGAGTACGAGTTGTATCATGAATTGCTTGGTCACATATTATTAGCAGTTAACCCCTTAAGAACCAAGCTACAGATGCTTGTCTTTCAGTTAAGGACCAAAGCAGTTTTTGCATTTTTTGCTATGTGTGGCCACCCGCAATTCCCATCTTTCTCATTTTTTTGCACCAACACATATTATATACCATTTTTTTAAAGGACAAAAAGGCCTTTAACATAATGCGACACACTGTGTAATTATATATATATATATACACACACACATACATATATACATACACACACATACGATCTGGGGCCAATTTTAGTGCATGACAGAAGCTTAAACCCCTTAAGGACTAATGATGGAATTAATCCTTCATGAATTCTTATGGTGGCAGAAACAACCATGACGGAATAATGCCATCATTGGTCCTTAAGGGGTTAAGCAGTAAAAAGTAAAAAAAAAAAAAAAAATAATAGCATTTTTTACGCTGTAAAGAGCAGACTACGGCTGACGTAGCCAAACGCAGCGAGGTGTCGCTGTCCAGAAGTCACCTAGTGAGCCTCGATCACTAGCAAAGAGAGCGACACGCTGCTGCTTCACTTACAGAGGGAGCGATTCCATAAGAGTCTCTTGCGATTCCGGCCATTGGAAATTGACAAAATCACCAGCGACATCAAATATAAGAAACAGATTTATGCAAGGCAGCAGTCATCACAGTTATATTATGTAACAAATCTAAAAGAACAGTTTTTTTGTTGTTGTTTGTTTACAGCTGTTAGAATGAAAAATAAAAATCACACACACAGAATGAGTGATGCACAAAAGGAAACCCCAATATCACATACCCCATAGGAAATGCATTAAGAGCCTTCCCTGTATACCTCACCTACATGGGCCCCATGAATCTGTGCATTCACACTGCTACCCAAGTGAGGGAAGGGTCTAAAAACTTTACACGTTTGTTGCTGATTGCAACAGAAAACAAAACGTGTGCCGAGACCTTATACACAGTATACAAATCACTTCCCTGGCCAGGTTTAGTCTGATCATCTATGAGATGAAGTTTGGAGCCTCACCCAGGTGCGGATCCTGCGTCAGTGGAGCACAGCTTGCGTCTCATTAGCACCAACACGACAAGCCGGGAGCACGGCACTGTGCGCACAGCATCCTCGGACTCCTCTTGGATCATCAACGACATGCTCGGAGCCAGCAGCTTCAGCCTTGAGTGGCAGCCGCTACTCCGGCTTCCAAAATCTATCTCAAACTACAAGTCCCGACATCCCAGCGAGAGGAAGAGGGGAGGGGGAGACACAAGTTGGAGCAGTGTGTCCCTTACTTGAGCTGTGTTGGCAGTCAAGCCCCACCCCAAAGCATGCATGGGAAGCCTGGGGGTCTAGGGAAGAAGGGCTGTCCGTCTCTGCAAGTTCTTGCGTTCTGCAACGTCAGCACAAGACTACTTCTGTCTGTTTCTTTTCCATGAGGAGCGTTAACCCTGGAAGTCACAGTGCTAGCAATAAACTAGAACTTAAAGCAACTGCTCTTATTATTGACTTTAGTGGGGGGGAAAAAAGCAACATACACGTTACAAAAAGCATCGTGCAGTTATCACATCCTCAATTATCACCTCCAGCTGTGTAGACAGAGCTCACTCTGTGGTGTGAATGTGTCCTCTGTGGTGTCAGAGAGGCTTCCACATTGGTGTATGCACAAACATGCCTGAGGCGGCCGATTCAATAATATTAGTGTACAGAGTGACTCTTGAATTAGCCACCCAGATCACATGGTCCCTGCTTCATGTTTACTTAGGGGAAATATTGATCAAGCAGCATAGATGCAAATCAGGCTGCCTCTTATTCAAAGGCTCTGTGATAGGTTTATAGTCCCATGCGTCTGTTTTTGTAGGCAGCCAAGTTGGACAGTTTGCAAAGTTTCGAGACAGAGTTATTACTGAAGATGAGATAGAATTTTTTTCTAAGGCCTCATTCACACGAGGTGTGTTGTTCTTTACAGCGTGAAGGGCTCAGGAGCTGAGGTAAGAAGCGTGCAGGCATGCAGCTTATGTAAGTCTGTAGACGCAGGAGCTGTGAGCCCTCGCACCCTGCTTCCTGCAGCTCCGAGTTTTGACAGGCGCACACACAGACGGTGCACGGACCTGGATCCATCATGTCTGCGTCTGAGGCTGTACACTGTTTAAAACTGAGAGCCGGGGAAAGCAGCGTGTGAGGGAGCACAGCTCCTACGTCTACATAAACTTATATAAGCTGCCCTCATGCTTCTTACCACAGCTCCTAGTGCATCAAAAGCCAGCCCTTCATGTTGTGCAAAGCAACACACTGTGTGAATGAAGCCTTAGTTGCAAATCAGGCTGCCTCTCGTTCAAAATCACTGAACAAGAGGCCTGGTTATTAATAGGGATATATTGATACTAGTATCGGTGCTGATACAGAGTATTTAGGTGAGTGCTCGTACTCGCTCAAATGCTTCCGATACCGGAACTTCAGGTATCAGGAAGCCGGGCGGCGAGTCATTATACAGCCAATCAGGAAACCAGCTCCATGCTCCATGGAAGTGAGAGGGCTTTCCTCTCACTTCCATTTGTGACTATTGGACAGGAAGTAAACGAAAATCTCCCAAATGGGACACAGAGGGTGAAAATAATTTGACGGGTTATAACCCTCCTCTGCACATCACTAACCAAAAATGATGTGTCCAGTGAAAAACTTCTCATATTCCTGATTTGATGACAACCCAAAATTTGGGATTTTCTTTCGCTTTCAGTGATAAAAGTTCCAGGACAAATATAGAGGGTAATTTTTTTCTGGTTTGGTCTGGTGATGGTGGTAACAAGCCCTAAGGCAGGGGTGTCAAACTCAATTTAATCGTAGGCCTCATCAACATTAAGGTTGCCCTCAAAGGGCCGGTTGTATCTGTAAGACTATATAAATGTATCTAATCTGTATCATAATTGCCTCTGAATTCGATTATCACTGGTTTTAAAGCTACAGGAGAGGTGCGAGTGCCACATGAAATGGCCTGGTGGGCCGGATTTGGCCCCTGGGCCTTGAGTTTGACACATGTGCCCTAAGGCGTACAAAAACGTATCAACGACCTTGACATTGTTCTCTGTGTTCTATCCAACATGGTGGACAAATATATTGACACTGACCATTTTTTCACCTATGTGCAGGAGTGTCCTGAGCTTTATGATCCTACAAGCCCACAATACAAGAATAATAGTAAGAAAGCAGAGCAGTGGACAACCATACCAGCCAATGTTTTTCAAAACTTTGACCAGATGTCCAAAGGCCAGAAATAGAATTGTGGTAAGTACATATGAAATAATTGGATGTATTCTGCATGTATGCTGCTATGCTTTTCACTTCTTATGTTAGGAACTGCTGTACTCATGTGAAGGTCACAAACACGTGAAATACTGGGAGAAAGCAGGAAATAACAGAGATATAATCTGCATACTTTAAAAAAAAGTGGATAAAAAATGCGTTAAAAAAACATGATAAAATGCATACAACTGCATTTGAAAAAAAGCATCAAGATCTGGTCTGGAGATGGTGGAAACAAGCCATTAACCAGTAATACCGCTGCTAATGTTTCACTTTCCTGAAGGAAGTCGCATTTGCTTCTGGTGTCGGGGTGAACTGGCCCATAAGTTCTCCCTTTGGGCGAATGGAGAACATCCAAAGTTCGCCACAAACCTAACTCATCGGCAAACTCAAACCTCATCCCTAGAGATATATTGTCACTTTAAACTGGCACATAATTTAGAAGTGGTTAGGGTCAGGTTTTATTCTGTTGCAGTGCTACTTTATTGCAGCAGAGGATGGCATTTATGAATCAAGTTGGTAACCTTGTAGTAAATCTGTTCCACAGACTGTCTCATTGCTGTTTAGCATTGGTGTGTGTGTGACAGAACAGCACTGGAAAGAGGACACAGAGGGGGACAATTATCAATTCTGTCACACAGCAAGCCAATCCTAAACAGGGGCAGTGAGACAGATTATGCGGCAGATTTACTACAAGGTTACAGCTTGAGCCATGAAATCCTCTCGGCTGCTTTAAAGTAGCTCTGTGACAGACTAAAACCTGACCCCCACCATTGCTAAATTATACATCTGTGAATGACAATCTGTCTCATCTAGATTGATAAATCTGTCACAGAACTTTGCAAAGCGTCACACTTGGCTACCCAGGAATACAGACAGACGTATGCCTGTCACAGAGACTGCACTGAGGAGAGGCAGTGTGATTTGCTTATAGTTGTGTTGTCCATTTGCTTGATGATGGTCTCTGAGAAAGACATGCATTAATTGTTGCATCTTCTGCAATAATTTCATCCACAGTTTAGTGGCATACAGTATATGTATCAAAATTATTAAGGGGAAGTACTGGGGAGAATAAAATATACTCTTCCCAATACTTAGAACTGGCTATATAACGAGAGCTGAGTGATCACAAACTACGGATCAGCTCAATGCCTTCTCCCAGCAAAGAGCATGGACTGTCAGTCACCTCTTCCAGTAGGGATTCCTCCCTCCCCTCTCTGTTCCTCCACTGCTCATTGGAGAGACTTGCAGGGGAGGGGTTGGGCATAGCCACCTCTGGATCTAGATCTGTTAATCAGGTGGCTTGGTGAAGCCTGATAATATTGGGATTCTTACCGGCTGCAGTGCTGCTCTGTGCTGTCAGTGGACAGTGGCCCACTATATGCTGACTTTGGGTCACAGAAGTATAGTACTCCTGTGACCTAAAACAAAAGAAAAGCCAAAAAAAAGGTTTGGCTTCACTTCTTTTTTAACAAAACATATCCAATATGTTGCACAGTAAATAAATAGTGCTATTATGTTGCAAACAGGCCGTGTTTATGCAAACAGGAAAGTTGGAGTAGTATTGCTTCATAGGCAAATGCTCTATGATCAGCGGAGTAAACCGAAATTATTCACACCTGATCGAACCGTTCATCTGAAAGGGGCCCTTTACTTTATCTGACACTGAACCAGCACTGTTTTGTGACAGTAATGACTCCACTAAAGGTAAAGAACCAGACAGATAGGGTGGATTCACATTCCTGCATTAAGGAATGCACTATAATACATGTAATGCCACGCTTTAACATGTGTTTTGTTAGGACAGCCCCTTCATTTGAATGGGGCACCTGAAACTTATGTTGCAACAAGGCAGCCCATTCATTTGATTTAGTTGCCTAATGAACCAAAAAGATACATTTACTACTTTTTATAATGCAGCACACCACACGGTAGTATGTTAGCATGCATTGTGGTACACTGCAACGCATATCTAATGGCAAGGTGCATTAGGATGTCATTAAGAAAAAATAGCACCACAGCACGCCAAAGCAGCTGTGTTGCTCAGCCTCCATGCTAATTACCTCTTGTGATTGAAAAGCCTGACTCGGAAAGGCTGCCTTTGTGCCCTGATGCTGAACCCGAGTTGAATGGTGTCACTGGTAAATGCCTGGCAGTTTCCGATGCTGATTGCTGGACAGAGTGCAAACATAAACATGATCCTATGTATTTAACAAGGTACATGTGGTATATGGCTGTAAAGTTCATTGAGTAATTCTAGGGTGGACTTCAACTAGGATGTTTTTTTCTTGGTGTCTCTCTTAATTGCTGTTCCTCTCTCTATATGGCTTTTTTTCTCTTTCTGTATTTCTTTATGTCCAATTCCTCTTTCATTTATTCACAGATACAGATCTCTTAAAAGGTTTGAGTGTTGATTGCTCTAGCTCCAAATATCATCTTAGACCCATCTGACCTTCCTTAAAACTGCTAGAAGTAGAGTTGCCACAGTTCTGCATCAGTCCCAGGTTCGGATGAATGCAGTTACATTCTTGCAACTTGCACAGTTGATTCTGCCCTTAGTCCAATTCTCAGCCCTTGCCAATCAAAGTATCCCCACAGTACACAGCCATGTCAGCCATGTCAGTGGTGATACCTGGGCCAGTCACACGCAAGTCTCCGGCTTCACTGTATAAAAGAGATGAAAGATGGAAAAGGCTGCAGGAAAGTTGTGGCTGTATATTGCAGGTTCACTATTGCTCAAGATCTGTCTGCCTCTTGGGTCTTATAGCATATGGAGCCGATTTGTAGTCTCTCTCTAGTAACTGGTAAGTATTTTGTTTAAGGGAGTTTGTAATTTAATTTATCTATTCACAGACATATTTCTCTTTGAAATTGTTCATTTTGTTCTTTGAGATTTTGTCAAGCCACTTGGTTGGAATTTTGAATGGAATAATCCATAATCGGCTAAAGA